TAGTCATTGTGAGAAAAACCTATACACTGGATAGGTGAAGTGAAGAAAAAGTGTCATTGGCCACAATTCTGTTCTTAACATTATATTGTGTGACCTTTTCTTCTCTACACCTATCCAGTGTATAGGTTTTTCTCACAATGACTACAAAGCACATTCACACTAATAGTATGTTTGATACTTTTCACTACGATATAGGTCTAGCTTATCTCTCTCTGGTTAACTTGTGTTTAGAGTTACCGATGATGAGTGAAATTCTCCGAAACTAGTATAACCTAATAACACACATTGATCAAAGTGTAGATTGAACTGGACCTCCCTTCAACTTAGACTTCGAGATTAAACAATTTTCAGAATATTAAGTTTATTTAATATTTATTATATGGTGCTGAATACCTAATCATGTTCAGTGATGATTACTTTCTATCTCACAGGAACCGAGTTCAAAGTTATGTGGTAGTTCACATGAAATAACTTTAAATAATATTTAACCTAAATGGTCTGCCATCAGGAAGAGACAAGTTCAATCCTCTGTAGGTTTGTATCATAATTCAAAAATTATTAAAATAAAACCCATACACAGTTACATTTATTGCACATCATATAAAATACCGGAAATAGGCTTAGAACTTTTTGTAACTTACTTTTAAAGGTCAATTATGAAATAGAGTAACCTGCCCTAAATTTGCAGCCTACTTTTACACATATGATAATTTCTCTCAAAATAAAACCCATTCTGTAAGAGAAAAAAACATGCAATCAATAACCTCAGCACAAACACACTGAAAATTTGTGAGAATAAAGTTTCTTACTTACCTAGAGAATTTATAGGCGGTCTGTCCAGCTTTGTAGTATTTGCTATGTTACTTGCTGAATGAACAATAGAATTACTGGAGGATTGAGAATAGCGTGAATCAAGTAATTTCACCTGAAGACTACTAGGACTTGCTCCAGTATGATTCTGTATTTCTGGCAGGGTTTCCAAAGTGCCTTTGCTTGCTGCATTGTCTTTTTGAATATTTTTCTTAGAGCAACAGTTTCCCATTTTGGTTTATAGAAAGACAAAAATCTTCATAACTAGATATAAAACATCAACCCAATCATTAGAAAATTAAAAAACATTTGGTATCCATCATAAAAACATTAACTTGCACACAATTCAAAGCTATAAACATTGATACTCCATTTTGTGCCAATTCACATTTTAATCCCTCATATCTGAACACAATGACAGAGGTATAATAAAAACACTCAAATGTTACTGGTTCTTTGTGTTAATTATTTTAAAATTTTGGCAGCTCTCTCTCTCTCTTATGCACAAATTGAAATCTAAATAGCACCTGTTTATAAATGTCTCAAATTTATGACAATCAATATTCAACCATTTATGGTAAGCACATTTTACATTATTGTAATTACTATTAAAAACTGTCTACAGAATAAAATAAAGCTTAAAATTCAGATAAAGTATATTTGTAATGGATTCATATGGGCACAGGTATAAATATATACAAGGGGTGATGCTTTTGGATGAAAAAGAAAATGAATGGCAAAGCCATACTAAGATATCTGGAGGCACATCTCCTGAAAAATGTTTTTCAATTATCACTAAAGTGCTGAACATGATTGATTTCTACAGCTGATTTCACACCTTTTATAATTCCATTGAGTTTCTGAGAACTGGTCACTAGTCTTCAAGAAAACAATACAAGTTGAATTGACAAGACCAAAAAATGCTCTGTATTAATGTTAACCTTAATAAAACTATCACAGTTACTCATAATTGAATGCTTTATATCATTCTGCTATGTACATTAGTTTTTAATGTTATTACAAGTTATGTGTTATAAGTGGGAGAATGATTAGTTTCTCATCTCCACATTGAATGTCATAGTTTCACTGGTCTAAATGAGTCCATGCTGAAGTTCAGGGAAGTCAGGCATTAGTACACTCTGTACTATGTGTATATGTGTGCATATATATATATAAGAAAAATTCCAATACTTAAAAAAAAAAAAAAATCATTGTACTTTCCAGTCGTAACCCGAAGGTCATGACATGATGGCAATTGCCTGTTGTAACAGCACCCAAAAGCAAAAACATTCTAGTTTTGGAATGTATAAATAATTTAAATGCTTCTAATACGGCTAGATATTTTTCCTACTTACAATTTCACTACATTATACACTAAAATAGATCTAAAATATCTAATAAAAGTTTTTAATTACCTGTTCGATAATTTTATAGATACAGAAATAAGTATTCCTAAATATAAATTTACTAAAATTCAGTTTAAAAACATTCTTCATTTCAGTGTATATAATAGTTATATTACTTTAATGAAAAGTTATATAACCAAACTGTGGGTATTCCAATGATAGCTAACTTCTCTTTAAATATGGCCAATTTATATTTGTTTTTTTGTAAATGCATTTATGAAACAGGTTTCAAATCCAAGTTATATAAATAATCAGTACTTTTCACCAAGTTTAATATATCCAAAAGAACTTGAAAGAGAAAAGAGTACCTATGATCATGTACATGCTAATTATTTAGATTTGGATATCAAATTAATAAATGGTAAAGTATTACTGAATATTTTTGATAAGAGAAGAGCATTTAATTTCCCCATCCTTGGTCTACCCACCCCCAATAGTGTAGTTCCTCGTATGATGTTAAAAGGCTTCATTACATCACAATTAAAAAGATTTTTAAATGTTTGTAATAATAGTAAGTTATTTATGGATAATGTTATATTATTCATAACTAAACTAGAAAATAAAGGTTATAAATACTGGCAAATAAAAAAAGTTGTTTTGCAAGGTTTTATAATAAATTTGAAAACATACAAGATAAATATTCAATGAGGAATATAGCCGGGACTGGGATGACTAACTTCAGGTAGCTGGACTTGTCTCAGTTATCCTGTGCTATACTTGAATAACGTTACAACAAATAAAAAATATTACCTACCTACAGTACTTAAGGTAGGTTTTGTAGTTCTTTTTAAGATCTAGTATAAAATATGTCATTTTCAGAAAAGGGTGGTTGGGAGTAACTTGTAGTATAATTATTAAGGTGGTTATTATTCTACTTTAGGAATTTTTAGAACTTTTAAGGGTGGAGGATGATAGGTTATGTTTAGTATAAATATTTTTAGGGTGGATTTATTTTATTTACTTTAATACATCTCTTTAAGGGTAACTGCATTCCCACAACTGGCTGCAGACAGTGAAAGGCAGTAAGAGTTGAGATGTTGTGGGTATAAGCACTCAACTCTGCACCCTTAATTAATTTTCTATGACTGCCAACTGGCTTCTCAATTGCTTTTTGGATTTTGTCTGATAGATGGGATATCCCCAATGCTTTTGGGTGCTATTACCACAGGCAATCACCATCATGACCTTTGGATTACAACTGGAAAGTGCGATAATTTTTTTTTTTTTTTAATTTTGGAATTTTTCTTATCTAAAGGTTCATTATTGTTTTATAGTGCTGATTTTGATTGCCTATCGACAATTAATGTAACTGGTATAATAGTTTTGAAGCTATTCCTTTCATTATATATATACATGGGTTTAACTTACTGGGTGAGATCCCTCTCCTGCCACATACCCTATTGTTCTTAAGTTTATGGGTTTACTTAACACTGATGATCATTTTTCAAATTTGAGATCAAATCTATCCAGAGAGTACCTTACATGACTAATTATTTTCAAAATAAAGTTAATAATCTTGAAATATTAATAAGTTACAGCACGATAAAACTTACTGCCCTGCTACCCAACTCATCTGTAACATGAGTTGTAGCAATTTACTTGGATGTCAAGCTACTCCAAAGTTAGATTGTCAGAGTTTTTTAAAGGGCTTTCATTTACAACAATATCTTATTATTGAGAATTATAATACATTTTGCATATAAGAGTCTAAATTTTTTCAAGGGACATGAAATCTGTGACAGTGCATGAAGCAAAGCAAAGTTTACATGTTTTGTACATAGGTTATATTGCAATTTTTGGTGAATGGTACTTTCATTATCAATATTGGTTAGAATGTTTAATATATATCCATTTATATATGTTTAATTATAAGGATTATTTTGCACAGTTAGCAACATATATAGATTTTGGACTAATCTGAACCTACTATTTTGGCCTAACCTTGTGTGAAATTATTGTGTTTACAGTCAGAGATATAATTAACAACGAAGGCAACAAAATAGTGAAACAATGCTTTATATGTATGAAGAGTATATTAACTTATCTTTATTCATTATGAGGTAATTTTTAGTTTTGATTTATATAGGTAGCTTGTCTTGATTAGAAATTAATCATTCTCCCACTTATAACACACAGCTTGTAATAACATTCAAGACTAATGTACATAGCAGAATGATATAAAGCATTCAATTATGAGTAACTGTGATGGTTTTATTAAGGCTAACCTTAATACAGAGCATTTTTGATCTTCTCAATTCAATGTCTATTGTTTTCCTGAAGACTAGTGGAATTATAAAATGCTTTAAGGAATATACTGCTGAACTCTTCTGTTAAATTTAAGTTACCAAATGTGTTTGTTAAACATGATAAAAGAAAAACATCTGACTGAATGATCAAACAGTAAGTATTTTTCTTACTTAATAAAAAAAGAATAGTATAATATATCAATGTTCTGTACACAACTTTATATTTGACTTCAATAAAGAAAATTTCATGATACTTACTGTCTTACGATGCAGAAGGTTAGCTTTACAATTAATAATGCATGTTTCAAATGTTTAAGAAATATAACAGAATTCATGAAAATAATAACAATAAATATATTCCAAACAATTTATATTAAGATAGGATCAAAAACTAAGTAGTTTTTTATCTTACATTTTTATGGCTAGTGTACATGTAGTTCCATCTACACACAACTACAGATCGTCACACAGACCGTCATAGTTTCTTTAACACACTGGTTAATTGATTCCATAGTGATAAGGGAAGTTGGGTCTCCATATACTCTGAAATACAGACAGTAGTAACTTTATTGAGCAAAAGTAACATACAGAGGGAAAGAACTCTGTTGAGGGTTGAGCTGTCACTTCCTTCCTGGGTTTCCTTTAATCTTATGTACAAAAATAAAAACAGCATATACTTCCTTTAGAAACCACAATCTCAATTTGTTAATAAACATTTATTGAATATTACAGGCTATTAGTATTTAATGGAAATCACTTCTGTGTCTCTCTTTAAATATGATGAAAAAATATGGTGAAAAGTAAACTTGCTTTTTGAAAAACATAGGGCAAAGTACATTGATATATTTCACATTTTATTTTGTTATATTAATGTTTATACAAGACACACACATTGATATAATTCACGTTTTATTTCATTCTGAAGTTATATCAATATGTTTATACTTTCAAGACAAGATGCACACATTCATATATTTCACGTTTTATTTTATTCTGAAGTTATATCAATATATTTATACTTTCAAGACAAGTAATTCGAAATAATATGGACACATCTGCCTTTTTTATACCTTAAGCAACATCAGCAGAAAGACAGTACAGTTTAATCATGGGCTGAGAATTACACTGAAAAATATAACTATAAAAACCTTCTGAACATGAACAAAGTAGGAAACAGTACAAAACTTAAGTAGATGAGAAAAGAAGTTCAAAAATTTCCAGCCTTACATTTTAACTGACTCAAAAATAAAAAAAAAAATTTTCTTCTGTAACAGCTTATTGAGTTACATGAAGAAATCTTTCCAAAGTTAGATTAGAAAAATTTTTTGTCACAATTCATTCCTATTATCAGCCAAAACAGCTGTAAAGCCAAAAGAATCATAAACACATTCTTGTACATGTAGATATATCAGTCAACAACTAACACTGAACATACAAAACTTTCAGTTTGCAAAGTGTGTATTAGGTAAAATCAATAACAGAAAAAATAAGAGAGTATCAACAAATTAGCATCCCCTCCCCACTCTACCACAGAAGGTAGTGGTTCTTTGCACTTAAACAATCATTCTACGTTTACTCTATTATCATGAAAGCTACTGTTACCCTGTACAAGTTTTATTCTATACAATATCTAAGATATGAAAACTTTCCTCTGATTAGAAGTAAATGAACTTTCAAATAGTTGCTCCCAAACAAAAAGATAAAATGTTTAGTTACGAAAGTTAGACCTCAACTGCAGTGATATTATGGTTTAGTTCATCTAAAGTCTAAACAATTAAGATGTTTTGTGGCTATCACAGCTTCAGCCTTTCACATGGGTATTGTACTATATCTGAGTTTTATTTAGAGATGAAATTGTTTTATAAAGTTCTGATTCTCAGGAAGGTTAGTATTTCCCTGATTTTTAATTGAAACAACTTTATCCATCTGAGCATTATTCCACATATGCAAAATATACAATAACAATCAGTTTGTAAGTTACCCCAACTAATCATTACATTGCAATGAACTAGATATCACTGAACTACTTCACAGATATGTTACATTGTAAAATATGCAAGTCATTGTTATGTAATACAATATAATCCTGACATTCTGTATACACCACGTCCAGATTTACCACCAATACATAATTGTGATCAAAAGAGCAGTACGAACAAAATGGTCAAAAAGATTAAAAAGTACTAGAAATAGGTTAAAATATAAAGAGTTTACAGTCTGCAAATTCAAACCAGTGACACAATCTTTGAAAACTGTGATAAATACTTCACATACAATTACAGCTCAATAAAATACAGTATATGAAATTATGATAAATAACATAAAAAGGGAATAACTCATTGATTTAAGACAAAAAATAAAACAAGAGTAACAGACTAGCTCTCAGTGAAATTCAATATAAATCATGCCCTAACTCATAAATCTTGAACCACGAAAATAGTAGATCAGTAAAATTGATATTTACTTCTTAATTACTAATAAATATATTAAATAAAAACACTAATTTCAGAAGTGCCCAATTAAAGAAAGTACATTTTTATATAATTTTGAGAAATGTAATAAGATCTAAAACTACCACTGGTATTACTCAATATGCATTTGTCCAAATCAATTTGTCTGAAAAACAGATTGTTGGTCAGCAAAACCAAGTAAGCTTGTTTATACACAAAAAAAACTTCAACAAAGATAATATTTTCAAATGTCTTGATTCTTATATATCACCAAACTTATGAACTGTTTAGGTTAAGTTTTTATTCTCACGTTTGCATGTTCTTTATAATATTCCTTTGTTTCATTTTCTTGGTAACATTTTGAACAAAAGCTCTTTTTCAAGCCAGAAACAAGCTTGTAGCCTAATGAAAAACTACGAACACGTATATTTCTGGCTGGAGAAAAAGGGTTTGGTCAAAGCATAGCCAAAAAATAAATTAAAGAAGAGTTAAGATGAATTATTTCCAAAAGTACAATTTCTTTATCTTATTACCTTTGCATTTCGCTCTTTTTCAATTGTTCATTAGAATTATTTTCATGTATAAATTTAAATTCTAATTTCATACCTACAAAGTTTTATCTAATACAAATAGTAAAATAAAATTAGATTAACATCAAAAGTACTTTTTAAGTATGCTGAAGCACAGCCAAAGGTATCCAAGTTGCTTTCTACAGCCAAGATTGTGTCAGTAAATTTGATAGGTGAGATAGTAGCCTACCAAGTAATCACTGGGCTTTTTTGGGGGGTAGTTTTTAACTTGTATAACATTCACATTCAAATAAGCTTCAAACAGAGAATAGTTATAAGCAAAGTAGACAATGAAAGTAATATAAATTTATTGGTAGTGTTAGTTGGGGACTAGTTTGACATTCCACCTTTATAGTATCCTGAGTCTGCTGCTGTTCTGAGCAATTTTCTCAAAGTATGGATTTTTAACTATGTTTAACATAATTTGAAATATGTATGATTCATATGTTTGAAAAATGGTTAGTAAAAGTACTCTAACTAACAAGCTTTGACATTATTTTATATTTTCTTTGAACATCAGTACTATTTATCACATTTTATGAATTCATTTTTGCATGTGTTTTGAAAAGTAATTTTATTTCCAACAATGACAGAGGTATCATAATAACTGACAAATGAAGTAGGCCTATAGCTATAACTAGTCATGTTTATTATTATTTTATTGGTGATGTTTTTAGGGTAACAAAGTTTATTTGAAAATGTCACAAAGTAATATGATTATTTTCATCAGCAAAAACAGAGTAGTTTTTAAAAACAGTAATCTTGTGCAAGTTTAAGATGCTGTTAATTGTACTTTCAGATTATTACTACTCTGAGTGTATGCTACATTTTCATCTATCACAATTAAGGTAAAACCAAATAACTTTCTCCTAATCATTGTATCTGTAGACATGATTTCTTCTAACTTTTCAAATATTTTCCCCACAAATTTTAAGGCAATTTTGTATGTTAATTCTACCTCTATTTAAACAATTTCAACTCATACGATCCCACCCGAAGTTGTTAGTTTCTAAACATTTTTTCTCTCTACCCATCCCAAACAATAACTTGATTTTTACTAAGAACCTATCACCCCTTGAAAAATATATTATTTGTTTTGTGATCTTCAAGTGCTCCCTTAGTTTTTGTAAAGGCCTTGGTTTGCCACCTTTCTTTGGTTCCATGTTAGTGATTTGGTCATTTATTTTTGAAAACAGCTATAAAGAATGTTTAAATATGACTGAATAGAAGGATAAATTAGCTTTCATGTAATATTAGAAGATTATATATATATATATATATATTTATTTATTTACACACACATGGGTTTAAGAGTTTTCTTTATAGTTTCTGTTATGTTCCTTTCACTGTTAACTGTAAAAGTATTTTTGTGTTAAATTATATCTGTTTGAAAGCTACATAAATTTTCTTCAAGAGATAAGGTCTACTTATAGTTTTAAGTTTTGTTGAATGGGTAACAAAGAAAACTTTATTACAAGTTCAACACAGTATAATACTAGTAGTAAACAACATTACAACACCAAATGTGTTATTTTTCTTTCTTAATTAAACACTCATTGTTTCACTTTGCAGCTTCTTCAGGAGCATTCCACTAAATCACATTGTTTAAAGCTTAATAATGATATCTTGTTGATGTTTGGTTCTTTGTTTAAAATGATAGTGCTTTTTTACTTTTTAATAGATATACTATAATTTTATAAAGTTACAACGTTTTTAAAGATGAAAGTTTTTTTAATTATGTTCACCAAATAAAATTGTCATCAAATCACATAAGTTAAATTTAACTCTTTAGTGGGTATGGTAGGAAATTGCAAAATATTCTGATAAATCAAATTTATATTTAAACTTATTTTGATATGTATCTTGGATACTTAATTATTTCTAATTGCAAGCATGATATATTTTAAATAAAAATATTGCTACCCTGATTGGTGATAGCAATAGATTTTTCTTTATTTAATTAGCAATTTATTTGATTTATAGAAGATCGGTGTGGGATTACTGCATATTTGAAAAACAAACATAATGGAAACTGCATGGTGGTATTTAATCAACATTAGTGAACTACTCACCAATTAGGAACTGTCAATAAAATTTGTGGCAAAATGTGCAAATGGCAACCTACAGAAGAGATCTATAACATGAAATCAAGGATAATTCAAAAATTACTTAAAAACGCAATATGAAAGCAAGTTGAAAAATTAATAGCACATTGTAGGAGGTGTGTACTAATCAATTTAAAAGCCCATCAATTAATCGATTAGCAAATGTCACTAAATGCCCAGCTCTAATGACCTCAGAAAAATAGGATAGAGTTGTAGCTAATACTAAACAGATGAATGAAATACAGTTGAACATTTGAAAATATTACAATGTGCATGAGACAACAAAGAGGAATTTTCCTAGAAACCTTGTTGAATGGTTTGTTTAAAATTATGGGATTGCTCAGAGCTGATGAAAGGAATAATGAAGCCAAAAGATGACTGACAGATATAAATTCTGGTGTATTAAGTTTTCTTATTGG